GAACAGCATACGTTGTTTTACGTCCAGCGGATATTCTCCAAAATGGCGCTACAGGGTGACACGGAGGAGACGAATTGTTGAATAAAGTCGTTATTTTTTTTTCTTTTGCGCACAAAGTATTCTCGTAGCTTCGTATAATTACGGTTGAACCACTGATGTCACATGGATTATTTTACAGATCTCCTTGCTACGTTTCTGGACTTGGGAACATTTCAGTTGTGTTGCTGTCTATGCAGGGTCAGACACTCTCAGATTCCATCAAAAATATCTTCATTTGTTCGTTTCATTTGAAACGACATGAGGCTGAGTAATTAATGACAGGATTTTCATTTTTGGGTGAACTAACCCTTTAATGTACGAATTGCAAAATAAATCATTTATAATAGAATAAGTATGCATGACCGTTTCTGTGGATTTGAGAGGTTTGGCATACTGGTTTTGTATTCCTTGCAGGAAATAAACTTTTGTTGTTGTTGTTGTTGGGAGTGGTCTAATCACGCTCCTGGTTTTCAAGATGAGGTCAAAGCAGACAAAACCAGAGAAATGTGGTTTATTTAATCATTCCCTCCGAATCCATTTCCTGCAAAGCAATAATGTGATAGCGACCGCAAGCCAAGATTATGAACATACATAAGCTCTTAAAGTGAGCACAGCTCATTTATGTTCAACAATTGACAAAATGCCACACTAATGAATAGTGACTTGTAAAATTGGGCGAGAAAGCAATGCATAAAAATCAGACCAATATATTGGCCGTTGTTGACCATTTTGAGATTATCAACATTGAATGATATATGGATAATATAAATGTTCTTTTTGTACATCTTGGGTAAATATTGTGCAAAATCAAACAGTTCATTTAAAAAATGTAGTGAATATTTGATTTGCTGTTATTAAATTGCATTATGTATGTACACACCAGCCACACTGCAATCCAGATTTCAGTATTGGCATCGATCACTCCCTTGCAGTACATCTATTTGATCGATCTGGCATTTCTCATCAGCTACACTTGCGTGTTTTATCAAGTAAGGTGTAGCCTAATCTATGAAACTTTTCTTTGCACTCTCATTTGGGTGTCTATCAGAATCTATATTCCCACAGATCTCATCAGATGTACAGTATATAGGATTTACAGTACGCTTTGTAGAACAAAGGGGTCCCCAATGCTCGATGACATGCAGATCATTTTTAAGTGATTTAATATTTTATATTCACATGCACAATTGCAATGCAATAAAGCATATGAAGCATTTTGAGTAGGAGTTTAATAAAATGCACGTTTATACTTACCAACAAGGAAGTCAGATATGGCCAAATTAAGGAAGAAGTAATTGCATTGATTTCTGAGGCTCTTATCCACGACGAAGGCCAGAATAACCAACGCGTTCCCGACCACCACCACGACCACCAGAGTTATCATGAGGATCGCCAGAATGACCATCGTGTACCCGGGGAACGGAGCCCCATCCGAGCTGACGGTCGTGCTGTTGGCGCTAGAGGAATTGAAGCAGGTAACCATTGTCAGATCGAGGACATTTGGAGAACCAGCAACAGGTCTGAAGTCATCATGTGAACCTTTTCCCGCTGACGATGATGACAGGAGAGTTTTCATCCCTTTAGGGTTGCGTTAACTCCAACGCGCGGCGGAATAAGCCTCCCACTGGAGTCTCCAAACGCCTGCGGAGCGCGCGCATCTTTGAAGCGTCCAGTGCAATACCTGAAACACATGACATGAAATGACTCCTTCCTGACGGGAACTCCATGAAGCTGTCAAGTCAAGTCCTCGCACTGAGACTGAGCGCAGAGTCTCCAGCAGTGTAGCGCGTTCCAGTCAACTGTTGCGCACTCGCGCCTCTCGTTAAATACCGCGCTGTCCTTAGACAGATACAAGATGCAACACTTTGCAACTTACCAGTTTGTTGAAGATCTGATTTATATTCAGAATTGCGTAGAGTGCTGTAAACCCATCTGTCCAAAATCACAAAATAATATGTTTAATACAATCATACAGGATGTGATTCTGTATATTGCTCTGCTCGAATAGTTATTTTAAATATATGAATGACCCATGCATTGAGAAGCAACATAAATTAATTGCTGGGGTTGTCCCTATTTTACCCAGCACTGGGTTGTATTTAACCCAGCATTTTTTAGAGTGTATGAAGAACCTTTAACACCAATGTAAACGTTCCATTCCACAAAAGATTCTTTAGATGATTCAGTTGTTCTTTACTCTACTAAAAATTGTTCTTTTAAGAACTGTTCACTGAAAGGTTCTTTAGAGAACCTAAAGTGGATCTTCTATGGCATTGCTGTGAAAACCTCCCTGTGTAACCTCTATTTTGAAGAGTCTATATACACTGTAAAACATTCCAAATTGGTCATTTATGAGGTTCATTTCAGTTGGGATGTAGACAGCAAGGCAGCTCAATTGGTTTTGGAGCAAAGCCCAAGTTTGGATTTTTAATAACCCACTGTCTTAAGGTTGAAGTATGAATATAAATGGATGATGCTGTCCATGACTAACATAGTGGATATTTGCAGTAAATTGCACTGAAAAATTCATGACCATAGAGCAGCTGAATGCTGGATCCACAGAGGATACGGGCTTCATCCGTCTGGTGGGCCGCTCTTATCTCAGATCTGTCACCGGTGCAGCAAGTCATTCGCTTATTATTCATCTGATTGCAATAACAGTAATATCTTGTGGGTTTTGTGAACAACTCATTTGTTTCAGACAAAGGGTAATTTGCAGTGCATCATCTGAGGCACCAAGCGAAAACTTGGTTTGCATGCGTTTGTGTGAGACAACAATTGGAGTATTTGAAGAACAATAAAACGTTTCCAACATTATGGACAAAAAAAAAAAAAAAAACTGAATATTGCAATTACTCACAAGTTTAGCTTTGTGTCTCGGATGATGCACTGCAAATTTCTCTTGGAAACAAATGAGATGTTTACAAAACTCACAAAAAATGGGACAAGACTTAATCTATCAGGATTGAGAAATGTTTCTATAAAGTCAGTGGTGGGAGAGCAGAGGTTGGTTTATGACGTCAGCTCAAATGTTTGAACAAGTTCTTACATTTTGATGAAAAATTACTACGATGTTGTCTTTGGAAGAACAGATAGGCCAGAATGCACTGCGCTGAGAAAACATAAACCCAATGTGGTGGACGAAGCAATAATAATGTCAACTGTTAATATATTTAATGCAATACTGAAGAGTCCTGATAAAAACAGTTCAATCTAATCTAAAGTCTGCAGCTCGACAACCCGACAGATCCCCATTCACTTTCAATTTCTGGAAAGCAGTAGCCAGTGCAGTAACATTCCTCCTTTTGTGCTCCACTGAAAAAATAACATGTAGGTTTGGACTGACATTTACTGACTATTACTTTTCGTAGGCTAATTGGATGTTGATACTTACAGCTCGGGTAACGGACAGGAAGCGATCGTAGCTGATTAAAACGATACTGAAGACGGAAGCCGTGCACAATAAGTAGTCCATCACAAGCCACAGCTTGCAGAGTCCACGGCCCAGCATCCACCTGCCCGTCAAGATATAGGGCATATAGACCGGGATGCAAAAAGCCCCTGGAAAGAGACACAACCACATTTTACTGTATTATACGGACCTTGGCTGGTATAATAAGGCTTGTGTCAATGGATGCACACTTCTCCAGGTCAGCATATAATAGACCCTTCAGAGCACAAAATCAATGGATCATGTCACAAAGGAGTCGCTTCACGATGTGACCGATAAACCTGAGCCATTATCAAAAAGCCATCGAGCTGCAAAGGGAACGGGTCTTGAAATGAACCACAGATAGGATCTCGTCTCTTAATGCACTCTTAATCCAAGGCAATAATTTATGGTGCCTGTGCACCACTGAACAGCAAAGAACTAAAGGTCTCTGTCTCAGTACTGCAGATGGATGTAAACATGTATTTTTCAACCTCAGAACCTGCTTTGCTAAGTCTGAAGTCATCATGTGAACCTTTTCCCGCTGACGATGATGACAGGAGAGTTTTCATCCCTTTAGGGTTGCGTTAACTCCAGCGCGCGGCGGAATAAGCCTCCCACTGGAGTCTCCAAACGCCTGCGGAGCGCGCGCATCTTTGAAGCGTCCAGTGCAATACCTGAAACACATGACATGAAATGACTCCTTCCTGACGGGAACTCCATGAAGCTGTCAAGTCAAGTCCTCGCACTGAGACTGAGCGCAGAGTCTCCAGCAGTGTAGCGCGTTCCAGTCAACTGTTGCGCACTCGCGCCTCTCGTTAAATACCGCGCTGTCCTTAGACAGATACAAGATGCAACACTTTGCAACTTACCAGTTTGTTGAAGATCTGATTTATATTCAGAATTGCGTAGAGTGCTGTAAACCCATCTGTCCAAAATCACAAAATAATATGTTTAATACAATCATACAGGATGTGATTCTGTATATTGCTCTGCTCGAATAGTTATTTTAAATATATGAATGACCCATGCATTGAGAAGCAACATAAATTTACTTAAGAAGCAAAGACATTATGACTTGTTTTCAGATAATCTATCTTGAATAAAAGTATTTTTGGTTGCACTGGCAAAAGCATGAATTCAGGTCGTTTTATTATCTCGTTTTAAGAATGTTTAGACATTTTCAAGAGAAAATAACAAAGATACTCATTAATATGTTTACAGTGGCAATGGTAATTCAGTATTTTTCTTGTTCACCCCCCAAAAAAATCTAAATCATTTACTCGCGTCATTCAAATCTATTTGTCTTTCTTCCACAAAACATATAAGATATTTCTGGAAAAAATGTCACTGTTTTTGCCAATGGGGTCGAGTGTTGTTTGAACCCCAACATTCTACAAATTAATCTGCGGAACACAAAAGAAGATACAGTGAGTCACTCCTGTGTTCTAAAAGATCTAGTTGTTGTGTTATACTAGAATCCTATGAGTAAACCCCCATTCAGATTCTTTAGGACTGGCTTTGAATGATGACAGAAATTCCAACAGAAATCCTGTTCACATTTTTGTCTAATGTATTTGTGCTCTTGTACTGTTCAGTGGTTTCAGAACCATGGACAGCAGCTATTGCCGTCCCCTTTAGGCAAAGCTCGGGCTGGTTAATTTCTTTAAAGCATTCCTTCCCTACTCAGTGGCTGTGCCTCAGCTACATACATTACATACTATGCATGATTTCCCAATTGAAAAAAAGAGAGTAAATTCCAACGTTGAAAAAAATGTAAATGTTAATGCCTCAATCAGCAGCGTACATGACGTTAAAGGCATGACAAATAAACATCATAATTGCACTTTTAAATTGCACACTATGCACAGTACGCCTCCTCTTCCTAAACACGCTCACAAATTCTGTGTTCAAGGTTTAAAAAAATCTTAATTACACTCGCTGTCAGAGATTTGGTCTTCTTTTCCTGTGTGAGTCATTTCCCTACTGACACAAAAGACCAACTTTAGCCCTGTGAGTGCTCTCTCAGCTGTGCACCAGAGCAAGATGATAGCAGACACTTTGCCCCTGCATTACACACACATGTGCATGACATTGATACTGAAATAATGGTGCATCTGTGAAATCCAATTTAGCGGCACTGCATGGTGCAGCTCCTTTAACTTCCATTAGTTCCAGCAGTTGTGCAGTTAAATTCTGTCTAAAACCCTTTTAAATGTATAATTCTACTTTAATTATGAAGTGCTAATTAACCCCTGGGCTCTTAACCCGGGATTTCTTGCCTAGGCCCCATAGTGATATCAATCACTTCCAAAGAGGGTCACTTGAGAGGCTGGGGAGCGATTCGATTAGCATAAGTGAGGTGTTAAAACGTGAAACAAATGCTATAAAAGCACAGTGAAACTCATTCCCGGAAGATCTCTCCGCTAAACCTGACACAAGTGTCCAACTGGTTTAATGACTCAAAAGTCAACATAAAATCAAAACTTGATTGATGCATATTATTCTAAAGAATAAAAACTTTCATTAAAACATAAGAACTTGTATCCTAACCCACACCTTTTTTTGTAAGCACGTGGTATTCAAAGGATTCATGCTGTAAGGTCCACACACTTGGCCCAAGGAAGGTATCCAGTGCTGGCTGAAGGTTTCTTGCGTGTTCGGTCTTTTCAGCGCGCAAAGTTATTCAATTTAAGTTTAATTCTAATCTGACTCCATTTTAATATGACCTCGAATTTAGATTGTCATGCGAATTGGTTGCTTGACCATTTTTAATTATTATTATTCTGACATTTGATTATTCTATTTATTCTTTAATATTATTGTACTCGTTCATTCGGGTGCTCATGTCGCTCAAAGATATCGCTTCGGCCTCAGCGTATCTTACGATCACATTCTCGTCAGTCTTGGTGATTAGACAGAGATAATTGGCTAATACTTTAGATGGCCGCTCCTATGCTTGCTCATTCTAAAAGTACTTTTAATGAGCCCCCATAGATTTGTACACACTTGAATAAAGCAACATTATTTCTAGTCAGAGGTCACGACCACTACTATAGATATAAGCCGACCAACATTACTTTCCCTGATAGTAGCTTTGGTATGGTCATGCCATGGTTTCCCATGTACACTTAGCTAGAGTAATATTACAATAAACAGAGGTTAGGCTCACCCTATTTAGGTTGGTCGAACAACATCCAGTTGACCTAAACGGAAATTGCCTATAAGCTCTTACAATCTAAGTACACTTGAACTAATACCAAGTGTTAGCCGGATCTCTAAAGATAGAGTTGGCGTGCCCTATGCTCCATCTCAACTGAATTTTAGTCCGTTACTAACCTGACGCAGGAAATGCGCTAACAAGGATACTACGTAATCTACTAGAGTCAATAATTACAAACAGAATAAAATCAAATGTAACAATTTATTATCAGTCAGGTAAATATGTATTATGCCAATTACATAGCCAATTCAAAGATATCAAATCAATACAAAACATCAAATTCTCAAAGATGAATCTAAGAGTAAGATGCACACCTGACACTTCATACTATGGGCTCATTCTGGCTGCAGAATCGCCCCGATCTTCTTGCAAGATTTCCTTAAGTAACCTCAGACCGAGACAAAACATCCCCCAAAATGGAGACAGGAACTAACAATTGTATTGATCAAGTCGAATTAACACCTTTTGGGACAGATGGTAATTTGCATGGAATGACACACCCTCTACAGTAATCAAAATATCTCTTGTCTTTTAGTCTACTTTTGTAAGATTAGACCATTGTACCACTCACCCTGAGACTATTCAAATGATACCAAACATGACTGTAAATATTACTTGCATTCATGTAGAACATTATACTATTGACCATTCTGAGTGAACCAAGTGGAGGGAGGATGGGTGAAGGGAAGGAAGGGGATGAAAAGGAACTGATGCATATGTGAGAGAGGCGTTTTTCCCGCATTTTCTCTCAGTGGGATGTGGAGACAGATGTCTGTATGTTAATGCACTGTGTGTGTATTGTCCGTTTTAGAAGATAAAAGTGTCTGAGGTTCTGTAATTCTTACAATGCCTTCATAGTCTTGTTACAGGTTGCGGCGATTCATGTTGCTAATGAGCAGGGATTTCAAGCATTTAGACTAAAATCACAGAGGCAGGTGCCAGAAGAAGATAACATGGAAAAGAGGCTAAGAGGCTTTTTTTAGCAATCAAGTTCTTTGTTGTATTTTTCTTGCAGCAGAAGTAGAATTCCACGTATTCCAAAGGCCCAGCGCGAGAGCTACAACTCATTTCAACAGGGATCACCTTCTAAAGAAGTACGAGAGACTCTTACAAAACAAGCTTTCGTCTGCTCCCTTCTGATGTTTGATCTCCAGAGATGAAGAGGTCTGACCCTTACTTGAACAAACAACAATGGCCATCTCCCAAAGCCACTTGAGACGATAAAACAACATGAATTACCATTCTGCTCTGGTCTTCTTGCTCCTCAAGGCCTCAGCGGAGGACAGCTAATGTGTTGATTTGATTTCTCCCACGATTAATATTATTCATTGATATTGTTGTCAGCCAGGATACAAAAAGGAAAGGTTTCTTATCCACCATGCAAATTAGCCACTTTCATGCAATGCTAATGGTTCTCTCTTGGTGTCTATGTTTGGAGGGATATTATCTGGTCAAGTTGCGAAGTTCAATATTGTATTTATTCTCACAGTGGGTCACATCAAATGGACGATTAGCATGGCGGAGATCTGGCTTAGGCTATTTAAAATGTACCTAAACAAAGCATGGTATGCTTTAAGATATTTGTAGTTAAGGTTAGTTTGAACTCTTTCCTGAGATGGTATCAGCCGTAATGCGATAGAGTTGTCCTTTGGCAAACTGCTCTTACTGTGGAGGAAATAAAAGACATTGGTTAGACGGAGCATTGATAGGAAGCCAAACAGTCCATGAGCAAGTTTTCCAGTCAAATCAATAATTAGCATGTTGGAGATATGTTTTAGGCTGGCAAAACACAGCACTGCATGTTCAAGTGTACCGTCCAACTATCTGTACCAAAGATAAAACATATTCTTTGGCAGAAATTAATCTTTGAATGTCACAATAAAACTCCCAAGAACGGTTTGGCCATCAAATTGGCAATTTGCATGTCTCAGATTTGGCTTCGACAATTTAAAAAGTGCCAATGCACAGCATGGTATTGTCTGATGGATTGTGGAGTTATTTCTATCCAAATATAGTGCAGGCCCCGAGCGAGTTTTGTCCAGTCAAAATCAATGATTAGCTTAAACACAGCATTGCAATTATTTGAACCAAAAATTAGCTTGATTCTTGTCCTTGCACATCATAACAAATCTTTTCTCCAAGAATTGTTTGGACATGTAATTGGCAGTTAGCATAGTCACAGATCTATTTTCATCACTTCAAAAAGTGAATGGTATTGTCTGGTGTAGGAGATATTTCTATTCATGTATAGCACAATTCCTCACCAGATGCCATCTATGCTAATGTGATACTGTGGCCTAAAATAAGAGAGATCTGTTGGTTACAGTTCAGATTTCTGTTCAGACTGATGGGCGGTCAAGTAGACAATTAGCATGTTTGTTTGGTTAATCTAAAAACATTAATGCACAGCATTGCATTTTCTTATGTACTTCAAAGTTATTTGCAGAGACGCTTGATTCCTTATAATAAGGAAACGATATTAGCCGAGATTCGTCCTTTGGGGAAAGCGTTTTCACATTTGCTGCCATGATTCTGTAGACCAAATAAAAAACGTCCATGTTTCAGGGCAAAGATGAGGTGCCAAACAGGCCCTGAGCAAGTTTTGCATGCAAGGCAGATTTATCCTTATACATAGAAAACACGTCACAGCAAACGACCACCAAAGCATTTAGCAGTGCCCCTTGAGTCAAAGCAAGCAATTGAATCTGAAAGGGTAGGTGCTGACAGTCAAAAGGTGCGTTAATATTCATTGGAAGGAAAAAGAGTGGGAACACAAGGAGAGAGAGAGGCAGGCATGAAAGGATAGTCCAGAGAAAAGGGAATAGATGCATGCAGGGAGGATGAAAGTGAGAAGACTATGACTAGCGCTGCAGAGAGAAAAGAGGCCAGAATGTCAAAGACCCAGTGGTATTTAATAAGGAAGACAGCAATGATATGTGTGTGCGCCTGTGAGCGGAACCAAGACGAGACGTCAAAAAGCACTCGAGTACCTTTTCTGGATGACTCATTCCCACAGAAGAATTCACCTGTTGCGAACCATTCTGAGTTCCACAGGTTGAGCAAACACTTGAAATCATTCGGGGACACTAGTACGCAAACCAACTAGTTGCTTTCCAAGACACGCCACCAATCTGTCACGCAAGTGCCTGCAATTACAAACTGGCATTCAGACGGTTCTCCCGTGACCTAGCATCTGCTTATTAGAACATTATGCACCAAAATGATCAAGTTATTCTCACATGAGCTCATTAATGACAATTAGCATGCGAGTCGTAGTGCTGCAAACTCACCAGGTGGCGGTGGACTTTGGCCCCTGCAAAGTTTGAATGGTAAAAAAAATGAAAATGCAATATTGGAGAGCGACTCTCCAAGAGACTAAATAATGTACGTTTGACAGTCAAACATGGGAATGACATGCACTTTCAGAGTCTGTTTTAAGCTGGCATTTACCATAAAAAGTCTCCTCAAAAGGACGTTTTGGTATGAAGCTCCTGGGAAACCTCAAAATGCTTTTGTCAGGCTTTATCAAAATACATTATTAGAGCATCGTTAAACCGGAAACAAGGATCAAAGGCCGCTGATGAATGTCAGGGGTATTTATTACCTGTTTCGCACTCGTTCGTCCTTGTGACTTCAGGCAAGCCTCAAACCCTCGTTTGCAAATCAATTTGTAATTAATAAAAATCTTTATTCATAAGACAAAGCACTTAGTGTGAAACAATGCGTAGCAACAGACTCAACTGCATACACAAGCCATTTTTGGCATGACTTTGAAGTTGTTTAACCCTCATCACAACATTGAAAGCTTTTAAACCCTTACAATTCACTATGACTGCATTTTCAGTTTATTTTATTTGTCAGCATTCCTAGTCGCCCGTCCGTCTTCATTCCAGTTCTCATCTGTTCCAGGAAGGTTTTTCACTTTGCCTTCTTGCCCTTAGGTTTTTTGTTCTTCCCTCCAGCTTTGGATGTTTCCTCCTGAAAGGGAAGAATAAAAAAGAAAACATAAAAGACAAGTGATAAGACTCTGGTGAAAAAGGAAAGCTGAAACGAAGAGCTTCCTACTGGAAGAAAGAGAAATCTATAACGTCAAAAACATCTGTTCAACCTTAAATTACAGCATGATATTACATTTAATTAGAACAGTGTTCGGCTGTGCCGTCAATAATGGCCTGAATTTGTGGTCGCAGACGAACATTCAAAATTTGAGACAAAAACCCAGATCAAGGGGAAAAAAGTATGAATGATTTATTCTCAAGCCATCTTAGGTGTATATGACTTTCTTCTTTCAGAGGGAATACAATCAGAGTTATATTAAAAAATGTCCTGGCTCTTCCAAGCTTTATAATGGCAGTGAATGGGTGTTGAGATTTTGAAGCTCAAAAAAGTGCATCAATCCATCATAAAAAGTGCTCCACACGGCTCCGGAGGGTTAATAAAGTACGTAGGATGTAGGCATAGCGTAATCTCCGGTGAGAAGTGAGAGCAAAACAAAACAGGCCACGAATTAGAAGTACAAAATGAGGATTTGTAAAGAAAAATGTCAGAGGATTTTGCCAAGAGGAGACTGGTTTTCCTTTGCTGTAAACAAAACTTGGTTCTCACAAGACTGGCATATTCTCACTGGCGCTTATGCTACGCCTATGTCCTACACGTACGACAGTCAGCGGAAGCTAGAGATTACGGTTTATAAAGTTGTAAATATGGATATTTTTCTTACACAAACGCATCGATTCACTTCAGAAGGCCTTTATAAACCCCCGCGGAGCCGTGTGAGGCACATTTTATGATGGATTGATGAACTTTTTTGAGCTTCAAAATCTCGACAGCCATTCACTCCCATTATAAAGCTTGGAAGAGCCAGGACATGTTTTAATATAACTCCGGTTGTAGTCGTCTGAAAGAAGAAAGTCATATACACCTAGGATGGCTTAGGATTTCATTTTTGGGTGAACTATCCCTTTAAGCCTTTGTTGAGCTACATCACAAAGTGGAACAATATTTTTGCTATATTTTATTGTTTGGTGCACTCTTCTTTATTAGTAAATTATCTGATATATATCAGTGTAGATATCAAGTATCTGATTAGTTCTCATTGTTTTTGAAGCGAGTGTTGATGAATGCGAAGCCAACGTCTATTTGATTAAATATATAAATATAATTTTTAAAAAAATGATATAATCAAACAATCATATTACGAATTTACTTGATTAAACTGAAGAGTCTGATATTAAAAAACGAGTGAGTTTCAGGTTAAGGGAAAACATTCTTCACAAAAGTAAAAAGTCCATGAAAATAAACAATTCCCACCCCTTCATAATCCTGTGAACAACTGCTTGTGAGTTTTTAAGGTGTACTTTTGAGAACTGGAATTGAAATGCAAGTTTTGCATGGCTAGCGCCATGCCTTAGCAATCGGTCTACAGGAAGACTTTGATTTAAAACTTTAAATCACATATTGCATATTTCCCTGATGCAATATAAAGCAACTGTGACATAAATAATGTCACTGTCATTTTTACCAGTTCATACATCAGTAGAAGGCTTGTTAAAATTCTTCTGACTGTTTTTATTATTTAGATGGCATCTCTAGGGACCCAATAGTGTCCAAATGAGTGTTTGGGAAGGAGTCTGGTTGAATTATTCCACACGTGACGTCCTCGCGCCCGGCTGCTCTGCGAGGCGGTGGTCGTTATTATGCATTGTATGTTAATTACTCTTGAGCAGCAGTGGACAGAATGCGAACAATGAGTCAGCCAGCTCAAACTGCGAAGATAACACAACATTCATCTTCACCCTGAAAGAACAGCGTGATGCATCTGAGCCGGAGCCATGCACAGTATCAGGAAATCCATACGAGCTGATGGCTCCAATCAGATGGATAAAACTACAAATTCACCATTCGCTTTCTCAAGAATCACAAAGATGCATTACTGCATTCTGCTCGAAGCCAATATGTGCACATACAGAACTACAATATGTATATGCAATGCTAAATGGACTCTAAATTGCGTCAGTTTCTAAATTAGTTAAATTTATTCAATACGGTTAGCATTGCATGGATCATTTATCTCTTGACTTATGCATTTAGGCTCTGCGTTCACTTAGTTTTATAGTTTTGGAGTGGCATAACAAAATAAAACTGTAATTAGCGAAATGCTCAAATTACAGTAATTACGACTTTTACAAAAGACCCACTAGTCTTTAATAGGCAGGTTGCCGTAATGGTCTCTTTAGCGGTGCGAGATATTCAAGTAAACAACTTTTGGGGCTGCAGCGTTCGGAAACTCATTCGGTCCATTATCAAAGGAGTTACTTGGCTTAAAATAGAAGCGGAAGAAGAAAGTGCACCGTTGAGTCGCTTTTAACGCCAATAATGACGCCGTGTGCCGCGACGGATACCAATTTCAAAACACGCCACAAACTATGATCTGAGGGCCTGAGCTCGCGCTCATGAATCGTGACGGCTCCGGTCGCCGAGAGAGAGGACGGCACTGCTGTGATGAAAAAGCACATGCTGCTTTAATTGAGTCGAGCTTTCTGTAATGAATTCTGACTAAATCTTAAACAATTATATCACACATGCGTGTAATTGTACGTCTGCGTATACGATGGTGCACCCCTATTATCCGGGTAACCATAGCAGCCCTGCAGCTGTGCACGAGTCCTCATTTGCACAGAAATGAAAGAAAACAATAAACGAATGAATCCTCGGAAGGAGTCAGGCGCATGCCGGCAAATCTCCTCACAACTTGTTTCTGTGTGACCTTATCACTGTGATTGTGGGATGAGTAAGTGGCGGACACTCGAGAGGAGAGCTTCTCTCCATACAGATTAAAACTAAAAGATGGAATATTGAACATTTAGTGCTCCAAAACGAGCCAAACCAAACAAATGCGTTAACAGGAGACTTTTGCAAATGCAGGATGTGGCAGAACTGTTTCCATAAAAATAAAAAAAAGACTAGAACCGAATGACTTTCATGATGTTTGGGTTTCTTAAAGATGTTTTTAATGTTTGCATTATTCTGCTGATGTGGACAGAATCGTTTAAGAAAAAAATATTTGAATCAATTAATATTTCTTTGTTTCTCTATTAATTAATTATTTTAATTCATATCAGTTTATTAATATTTTTAATTAATATATTTAGATATTTGTATATGTATTAATCTTTTATTTATATAAATATTAATCAACAATATATACACACAGTTTGTTGACATAATATTTTATATATATTTAGCTTTAACTACATAAATAAAGAAAAATTATAAGCATTTTATTTTTATATTTATTAACATTTATTTTTGTTAATATTTATATATAGATAGATAGATTGATAGATAGATAGATAGATAAATAAATAAATGGATACAGATTTAAATGATATATTTAAATAAATATACAAATGTAAGCATTTTGTCCACATCAGCATCATATTTATTATTCATTTTTATTATTAATTATAATTCTTTTAAGTAACATTTATTTAGATACATGTAATGCATATATAAAAATATATATACAAAAAAGCTATATTTAAATAAATATAAGCGTTTTGTCCACATCAGCAGAACAAATGCAGACATTCAACAACTTTTACCAAAACTAAGCGTCATTAAGTACACAGCTCGCGGGTCTTCACTGAATATATATATATATTTGTGACCCTGCAGCACAAAAGCAGTCTTAAGTCGCTGGGGTATATTTGTAGCAATAGCCAACAATACGTTGTATGGGTCAAAATTATACATTTTTCTTTTATGCAAAATAGTAAATCTCGGCCAAATATTGTCCTATCCTAACAAACCATACATCAATGGAAAGCTTATTTATTCAGCTTTCAGCTGATGTATAAATCTCAATTTAAAAAAATTGACCCTTATGACTGGTTTTGTGCTCCAGGGTCACATATAAGCAGTTTTGGAAAAACAGCGTGTTTGTTGCGCGGTCTTACTGAAGTGTCGGTGGATCTGCGCAGAACCCAAAGAAAACAGATATGAACATTTCTGAGGCAAACTGAGATTGTTGTTTGCCGCAGGATTATAATGTTGACGGCGTGCTGCTCACACAACCCGTCCAATCCAGCATAACATTTTTCATCTCAATGTAAACCAATAGTCTTTGGAACAATTCAGACGTCTGAAACATCATGAGATTCAAACCTGTTGCATGAAAGCAGCATCAATGCTTTTAATGAATTCATTTCAACAGTACAACATTCAGTGACGTGTCTTCACAGTCCTGGCTTGTTGTAATTTTCCCGCAGCGCCGCGGGGATGAAGCCGGAGGGGGGGGGTCTCAGCCATCTGCACACGCCAACGCTATTAATAGTCGTTTCTCTTTCAAACATGCCGTCACATTGGCAAAACAGGAAATAGTGGGACGAACTCCAATCGGCTAAATGAGCTCGTGTGAACGGCTGTTAGCTTTCATTCATGCACCAAGAAAGAGGTCAACAAACAGGCCATGTTCTAGATTCCTAAAGCAGTTTTTCCAATCAAATCCATTTAACATTTTAATGAGGCCATTAAGTTCATAGCCAAGAGTTACAAATTATGAACGCATGTCAATGAATCCATTTGTGCATAATGCAATAAAATAGTGCGAAATACAAAAAAAAAAAGCATTGCAAAAATGGAAATGAGGCATCCATCAACTGAAGGCACGTCGAAACTTATGCCATATATAGCTATTAAAACAATTTTTTTTTTAAATATACAATTTTTTTTTAATATTATTTTTATTTTATTTATTTTAATTTATTTCCAGAGCAGTACAGTTACGATTTGCTTTTTAGAGCAGCATGAACATTCAGAAATTCTCCAGAAGAAATTATGACAAAATGTACCCAGCAGACAGAATATACAAACTTAATACAACCCATAATCCAAATACATCAAAATCACCCTCTCCTGAATAACATCCACCACCCAATATTTCCCATGATCACCTGACTCAAACGTGCATTTACCTGCAAAAGATGGAAGTTTCTCCGTCGTCCTCGCAGTCCTGCAGGAAAGAGTTTTTATCCTCACAGTAGATCCTGATGGAAACACGGAGGCATTGTTAAGGAAATGTCCAAAACGAATCACAGCTCTTTACCTAGCGGACCCTCAGGGCCGACTTGCGCTTGCGGTACGGCGCGTTTTGCAGTCGTGGGTGTATTTCAGAGCAAAATTGGACGAGGATTTGGACGAGGCGTAATATCAGGCGCAGGGAGGAGTGTGGGGAAACTGGGACGCCCCGCTGAGGCTTTTCAGTTTTGAGAGCACGAGGTCCATCATTTGGGGAATAGTTGGGAATGAAAGACAGCAGCAGATGAGCACAGTGTTGACAGCCAAGAGACGCGGCGCTGCCCAAAGAGACCTTTCACCACATATGGCCCGTCGAGTGAGTCAGAGACGGGAATGACGGGCATTTGAACGCTTTCTTTGGGTATCTGGTGTCAACAAAGTGGCCAATCGGTGTTAAATCACAAAGTTCACGGCTCAAATTTTTCATAAAGCAACAAGACCGTTCACCTGATAAAATGTACCAATTAAAGAAGACTAGGGTGCTGTGGGTGGTTTTTAAATGGGTTTATAAACCGGAGAGTTCCGGTGCTTGATTCTGATTGGCTGAGCCGCGTTCGAAGCTGTTGTAAATGACTCTACAAAGTAACATACACCTTTGTTTACGTTTGTGTGTTGCTCGGCAACCACTTTGTTGGAACCACAACTGTTTCTGAGGAACTACATTGTTTGGTGGAAGAATACTGTTTTTATTAATATCATTACACTTTATTTGCTCTGTTTTATTTTGTGAAACCTTACTGCGTATATGGAATAACCGTTTTATAAAAGCAATAATCCCCGTGAAGCGTCGTGCCTAACAACGGCCCTTAGCTGTTATAAATTCACTGTAAACCACGGCTTCTTGGGGCTTATTGCTTTAACTAAGGTCGTCTAAATGGTTTTGACATTGGATTCAACATTCAAGTCTGTAGTGCAAATAGTGTGGGACGAGTTACATGCTAATGTTAAACAAGATTACGGGTTTGTTGTATATTACCGGTCAAAAGTCTGGAATAATTATGTTTTTTTTTTTTCATGTTTTAGAAAGACGTCTCTTCTGCTCACCCAGGCTGCATTTATTTGATCAAAAATACAGTAAAAACGGTAATATTGTGAAATATTTTTGCAATTTAAAATAGCTGTTTTCTATGTGAATATATTTTAAACTGTAATTTATTTCTGTGACCAAAGCTGTATTTTCAGCATCATTACTCCAGTCTTCAGTGTCACATGATCTTCAGAAATCATTCAGTGTTTCTCCTGAATGTTTTTGTGGAAACCGTGATACATTTCACGTTTCAGCAATCTTTGATGAATAGAAAGTTCAAAGGAACAGCATTTATTTGAAATCGAAATCTTTTGTAACATTATAAATGTCTTTACTGTTACTTTTGCATTCTTTTAAAAAAAAATCTTACCTAAACCCAAACTTTTGAATGGTTTTGTATCACAGTTTCCACAAAAATATTGTGCAGCACAACTGTTTTCAACATTGATAATAATCAGAAATGTTTCTAATAATCAGCATATTATACTGATTTCTGAAGACCATGTGACACTGAAGACTGGAGTAATGATGCTTTGCTCACAGGAATAAATTACAGTTTAACAGATATTCACATAGAAAACAGCTGTTTTAAATTGTATTAATATTTCACAGTATTAATAATAAAATAAAAACGTTCCCTAGCCATTGCTGGATGCAGAACAGGGTTATTATAGTTAACTAAAATCATTAAAAGAAAAAATATATATTACTTAAAAAAATGTTAACTGGATAAAATCAAATATAAAAAAACTTAAACTTATTTTATTTCAGCTGGTTGCCAAGGCAGCATTTCTCATTTTCGTTTAGTTTAAGTTTAAGTACTAAAATAACAAACTAAAAGTAAAATTATTATTAATAAAAACAATATAGACGTATTTAAAACCAACAAAAGGTTATAAAAATGACAAAAACACACAACAAAACCATTAAAACTTCAGCTGAAATTAAAATGAACATAGAAAATAATAAACAAATGTCAAATATTAATATTCAAAATATTAAACTCCATAATAGTATCTCAGCGATATTAAAAACACACTGTAAATCTGATGTAAACTGAACTGTTCAGAGATGTTTTTAGTGATAAAACAAGCAAAATTGCATAAGATATTAACATTTTCAGAGAATGTGTCTTGAATTAAGTTTATTTTTCTAACCACTTTGGAAATTATTTTTTTTCTTGTTTTAAATGTAATCCTTACACAATTTTGTATCTTAAAAAATAGCTATAAAAATGGCATAAGAACTACAAACAACACATCTAAGGTGGAAATAAAACAAATTATGTACAAAGGACTGAATGGAGTCTGTAAACTGGCATAAATTTGTGGAAAAATGTACAGATGTTACTAGTGTTTGCCTAACAACGGCAAATCTTTGTAAATAATTAAAAACAGAAATACCTGTATGCATAGATATTGTGAGTGGCACTTGCAATCTTCTTGTTTTCATATAAATTATTCAGAACCTGCAAGTAAATAAATACATATAAATGAAAAATTGCCCAAAACATGGGAACATCCATGCATACCAAACCAGATACTGTTCTAACATATCTGCCGTCCGAATATAAATATATGCGAATAACCAAAACTGCTGGAAAGAGGCTGCAAGCAACAGAACATTTCACAGTGATGCAACACATAAACACGTGCACCGGCACAGGCTTATTTCTCAGTCCCTCCTCGTCTTTAAAGGACTGCAGGCTGGTTTAAAAGTCTTCTGGAGAATGTATGTGTTAGATGGGTGTGTGCATAACATATTGACGCTAATAAAACACTCTTTCAAAAGACACGAGCAGACTTGAAGCGCAACTTATTATTACTGCGACGCTGACCAATTCCTGCCACAACAGGTCCGGCCGTAAACAACTCGTGGCTGAATCTGAGCATATGGTATGACTATGAAATTTAGATTTAAATATAGCAACCTAAAACTCACAACCTAGAATTATATATAAATACAACCCGTTTGAAGCAAGATAAATAATACAGTTGAGGTCAAAAGTTTACATACACCTTTCAGAATCTGCAAAATGTTAATTATTTTACCAAAATATGAGGGATCATACAAAAATGCATGTTATTTTTTATTTAGTACTGACCTTAATAAGATATTTCACTTAAAACATGTTTACATATAGTCCAAAAGACAAAATAATAGTTGAATTTATAAAAATGACCCTGTTCAGAAGTTTAAACATGCTTGATTCTTAATACTGTGTTGTTGCCTGAATGATCCACAGTTTTGTGATGGTTGTTCATGAGTCCCTTGTTTGTCCTGAACAGTTAAACTGCCTGCTGTTCTTCAGAAAAACCCTTCAGCTCCCACTAATTCTTTGGTTTTTCAGCATTTTTGTGTGTATTTGAACACTTTCCAACAATGACTGTATGATTTTGAGATTCATCTTTTCACACCGAGGAGAACTGAGGGACTCAAACGCAACTAATACAGAAGATTCAAACGCTCACTGATGCTCCAGAAGGAAATAATGCATTAAGAGCCGGGGGGTGAAAACTTTTGAACAGAATGAAGATGTGTACATTTTTCGTATATTTTTTCATTTAGTACTGCCCTTCAGAAGCTACAGAAGATAGTCACATGTTTCCCAGAAGACAATATAAGTTAAATTTACCCTGATCTTCAAATTCAAAAAGTTTTCACCCCCGGCTCTTAATGCATGGTTTTTCCTTCTGGAGCATCAGTGAGCGTCTTCTGTATTAGTTGCGTTCGAGTCCCTCAGTTGTCCTCGGTGTGAAAAGACGAATCTCAAAATCACACAGTCATTGTTGGAAAGAGTTCAAATACACAAAAGATTCTGGAAAACCACAGAATTTGTTGGAGCTGAAGGATTTTTCTTCAGCTCGGACCGAGCGTTTTGATTGGACGAACATTTCTTGGTCCTACGCCTTCCACAGAATATATAAATACAGACAAATACATTTAGACCACTTAACTTAATGATTGCTATCGTGATGTGAAGAGACTTTCAACCAGCATAACAAAAAATGTTTCTGAAGACAATCACCTATTGCACCTTTAATGTACGTTCTGATTAAAACAGTTGCCTAGTTTAGTTTAAAGCAGGATACTCTAATAAAATGTTTTACAGTCAAGGAAGACTTACAAAAATCACAAAGGCAAATCTTCTCTTTTCAATAAATATACATGGGTAACTCTTGTGTGACCAATTCTACATCTCCGTCTGCAGAAGCATTTATAGTTTTTATGTGCAAACAGTCCTGTTCTGATTGCCTGGCCTTCCAGTGTGAAGCGAACACTGGAATATTGTTGCGTGTTATTAAGCCAAATCTGGGCTTTGTTTTACAAAATGCTCCCTGATCTAACGCTACACCAAACCGTGAGTTGAACAGAGAAAGAGAATTACATTTAATGCACCATAAACACTGTATGTCAACAACATTGCTTTGAAATGACTAGCATTGGACAGGTGCTTACGCAAGACACATCCCTGATGCAATACACTAGAAAACGCACCCGTACACAGTGTTCACAGCGGCTCTGGGTTTTCATGGATTTACAGGCAATATCTGGCTTTGCTAAAAGTAACAGCTGGGCGAGAGTGACCAGATATTGAGTGTAAATCTGCTTTGTACACAACACCGAGGACTTCAAATATTGCCGTAAGACCCTTGGGAGGGACTCTGCCAGTTGTTTCTGTCCATCAAAATGGGTTTCGGCCTATTTGCGCTGAGTGTCCCGTCATTATTTACCAAGAAAGAGAGTCAAAAATAGGTCCAGAGTGCTTTCTCATACAGCAGAGTTGGACTTTATTGAAGCCAAAGAACCTTGTTTCTGTCCATCAAAAATGGGTTTCGGCCTATTTGCGCTGAGTGTCCCGTCATTATTTACCAAGAAAGAGAGTCAAAAATAGGTCCAGAGTGCTTTCTCATACAGCAGAGTTGGACTTTATTGAAGCCAAAGAAAAGCGGACAAATACAACCGTCTTCTAGACTGCGATTTCATTCAGGAGTCGAGAAAAACAGCAAGCTCAATACTAATGAATATGTAAGGTGGCGCACTCCCCCAAAGAAAAAGTCGTCATGAATTGGAGCCACCTATCAGCACGATTCATCAGTTTTCTCTCCGGCTAATACTCTCGTCTGAACACCTGTGTCGGGCTGAGGCTAATGAGATGAATGCTGTGTGCAAATGTTGCCTTTTTATCACTGCTGATCTAAAGCAAATAGCAGGAACCACAAAGCAACATCCTCTAAAACGTAAAAACCCGGTTGATATTTCCTCGGAGGATGCTTTGGGTTTTTTGTCGGGCTATTGTGAAAACGTCTTTGTGTGGAACGGAAATCTAATGAAATGTTTTGAGATCTATAGCTTGTGAAGATGCTGAACACAAACAGGTGCGTGTTCCCGCCAGAGTCTGGCGTCTTCGCTTCATAGACAAACTCATTTACAAACTTCTGTCAACACTAACCTTTTATGAAAATTAGAGCACGGCCAAACTTTGAAGTTCCTGCTGATAACACAATATCAAAGATCAAAAAGCATCAAAATGGCCTCTGAAATCCCAATAGAACTACAAAGTGACTAAGAGATATGCCTGCCAATGCTTTTTCCCCCCCTTTCTCGTGGCCTTGTTTGTATGGAACCATTCGAAGAGTGCGTCTAATGCACTCAGACAGACCCTCTCAGCTGTTCGGCTGAACTAAACATATCCATTGATTTTATATCAAGCTTGTCTAGCTAATTTCAGACTGATAAGGTTGTTCAGTCCGCTTCAGGTGCTATAACATTGTTGATTCTCAACCAAGAATCCATATGGCTCATAAGGGGGGAAAGAAAAACAACACAAACTAGACTTTTACATGTTCTCTCATGCGAAAAGAATGATCTTCTGGTCTCTAGATTTGGTTCGGGTTGTCCATCAGGTGAAAATCGTAACGCTGATCACTTAAAGGGATAGTTCACCCAAAAATGAAAATTAGCCCATGATTTACCCTCAAGCCATCCTAGGTGTATATGACTTTCTTCTTTCAGACGAATACAATCGGAGTTATATTAAAAAATGTCCTGGCTCTTCCAAGCTTTATAATGGCAGTGAATGGGTGATGAGATTTTGAAATCCAATAAAGTGCATCAATGCATCATAAAAAGTGCTCCACACGGCTCCGGGGGTTAATAAAGGCCTTCTGAAGTGAATCGTTTGTGTAAGAAAAATATCCATATTTAAAGCTTTATAAACCGTAATCTTGACGAGAGAGTGGCATTCCAGCGGATGACGTATGTTAGTCTCGCGAGAACCAAGATTTTGTTTACAGCAAAGGAAAATCAGTCTCCTCTTGGCTTATATCGAAATCCTCTGACATTTGTTTTTACAGATCCTCGTTTAGTACTTCTAATTCATGCCTGGTGTTTTGTTTTGCTCTCTCTTCTGCGCTTCCGCTTTCATCACTTCCGCGTTCACCTACATCATCCGCCGAACGCCACTCTCTTGTGAACACACGTATGACAGTTAGCGGAAACTAGAGATTACGGTTTATAAAGTTGTAAATATGGATATTTTTCTTACACAAACGCATCACGTCACTTCAGAAGGCCCCCCAGAACGGTGTGAGACACTTTTTATGATGGATGGATGCTCTTTTTGGGCTTCAAAATCTCAACACCCATTCACTGCCATTATAAAGCTTAATAATAATAATATAACTCCAAATGTATTAATCTGAAAGAAGAAAAGTCATATACACCTAGGTTGGCTTGAGGGTGAGTAAATCAATGGGTAATTTTCATTTTTGGGTGAACTATCCCTTTAAGGCTGGAATACACTACACGATTTTTAAAATCTGAACGTTTAAAAGATTTTAAAACGTTAATAATAGTTTCAGAGGAAAAACTGGGCATCATACACTAAACGACTGAGGATCACACACTACCAGACTTTAATTTGTTCCCAACACAACAAACTTGTGCAGAAACACATGACAAATTAAAACAAATGTGGTTTGAAATCGGCTCAAAATATCAAACATTTTTGATAAACTCTGACTGGATGGAATCAGAGTCTGACGCTAAAAAAAACTGCTCATCACACATTACACGATTTTCTATGAAATCTGTCATCTCGAATCTGCAGTCTGGCTCTGACTTTCCTCAACTAGCACTGACTTGTCCAGACTGTAAATTGGGGCAAAAGTTGTGTAGTGTATTCCAGACTTTAGTAAAGTTACGGCATGGATGAAGCTAGTTGCCGCCTGAATAACAACATCCATTCTAGAGGCCCCGAGAGGCAAAGAAGATAGAAAAAGCTAATCAGAAAAAGACAATGATGAAATAAAATAAATAAATAAATAAATAATGAAGAAAAGAAAAGATAAGATAAGGGGAAAAAATATATTAACGCTGTTCCATCAGAATGGATTATAAAGAGTAAACACATCTACAGCAGATAACGTTAATCAAGCACTCGGTCCGTCTGAAACATCGTCTACCATCT